GCTTATTTCTCCAAAATTCTTTCATACACATGAATTTCAAAAGAATGATGACATTGATATTCAACAAATTCGCTCAAGTGACAATGTGGCTGATCTATTCACAAAAGCGCGCCAACATCTACATTCAAGAAATTAGTTCATGAGATTGGAATGCGTCGACTCAAAGATTTTCAGTGATCAACATCAGGAAGAGTAGCTGTACTCTTTTTCCTTCGCTTAGGTTTTGTCCCATTGAGTTTTCTTAGCGAGGTTTTAATGAGAAAGCATTTAATTTTAATACTCCAAAAGAACTGTACTCTTTTTCCTTCGTTTGATTTTTTTCCCATTGGATTTTTATCAAACAAGGTTTTAACGAGGCAGATATTTTGTAATATGTCATTCAAGGGGGAGTGTTGTAAATGAAAAGTTCATTAAAGTTTATTGGTGAATGACATTTGTACCCCTGTAGCCCTAGAAATTATTACCATTGTATCCCTGATTCTTACCTATAAATATAGGGCTTTGATTTTCAATAATACATACAAAAAGTTTATTGACCTTTCTCTATTCTCTTTTCCTCTCATTTTATAACAGTTAACTATTATAGTTAGAGAAACTTTCATTTATTAAAATTAGATACATTATTTATGCATGTGCAATTAGCAATCTCATATTTTTATATGGTATGTTAGAATATTTATTTTGGTATAATTTAAATCATATGTTTAATTATATGGCAATACCATATTAGTAGCAATTATATATTTATTAATATCGTTAATAGGGTAATTAGTTGAGTGATTGATTACAATCTATATGGAAAAGCGTGTGGCATTAATAAGGGAATGAATGTTAGTATCAAAATAAGTAATAGGGTCAAACCTTAGAGACCCGTATTTATACCCCCTCGTATCACTTACACTCACACACAAACTTATCTTGTACTTTACATCTTTCTTTCTCTTAACTTATTTTCCACATACATTTTCAAACTACAAAGTTTAGCACACACGGTGTCCAAAAAATTTTGGAGTCAAAGTCTAACAAGACAATTTTCTCGATTTCCCTTTATCTTCTTCAATACAACTATAAGTGTAGTAGTACGAATTGTTCTTTCATTATTTAAATTATGAAAACTTATATTGTGAATATGATACGAAATCCAAGTTATAATTATGATAATGGTTCCATAATGTAAGTTCAAAGGACATAAGTTTAGAAACGTTACACACGAGAATTATATCCACGAAGTTTAGATTTTAATTTCCATGTTTCCATATGTATTTTATGATTTTCCGTATTTAAATATGAGACGAATTCGTTATTACTCATTTACTGAGATTTATATCTCACATGTATATACAAATTTTTTTACAGGTAACCAAAAAGGCGAGTTCGAGGCGATCGGAAGTAGATTGTGCTTGCGTGGGTGAAAAAGAAGGAATCAATTTTGTAGTTACGGATTTTAATAGTGTTCATTATATTTTTCTTAAAACTAATTTTAAATCCTCACATGTTAAAAGTTTATTATGTTTTTATTTTGTTTATGAAAGTATTCTTTTACAGTATATGTATAATGATTCCCAAGGTAAAAACTTGGGTCGTTACAATTAATTAGATTAAGAGATTCAACAAAATTTCTATTAAATGTAGAAAGTTAACAAAATAACATAAACAAAAATTTCTTAACTTAAACCTGATAATTATGAGAAGAATCAAAATAAAATCGATTAAATCACAATATATTTCTTAGTTCCAGTTCAGTAATTCAGTATTTCTAGCATTTTTCCATTTCCAATTGCATTCCATGCTCGATTATTTCCCCATCTTAGCAATGGCTTTCCAATGATGACGATCTTTTCTTCAAACTTAGCATCGAAAATGACCACCTAATGGCAATACAATGTAATATAGTTCAAATTATAAATGACACCAGCTAGCTCAGCAAAATAAAGGAGCACTAAAAATTGGAATTATGGACTCTCCTATAGAAACAAAAGTAATACGGAGGCTCGAATTGACTCTTTAAGGAAACAAATCAGCTACAGTGAAAACAAGGCTTTGATTTATATGGCTCATCTAGTCAAAGTAAAAAAGCATTAATTCCAAATAAAAAGACATAAGGTGAATGGGTTATAATTTTCATTATCTTAAACAATTATGAAAACCAGAATACTGTTAAAACAGGCTTGGTCTGAAGCAACACAACACTAATTAGCAGGCAATAGCCTGAGGTTAATGAGAAAATCATAGAAGTGGACAATTTCCTTGGGAAAAAAAAAATGCATAGCAGAGGTCCATAGCCACTGGAGTGTAAAACCATGTACTCAAACAAATTACAGAAGGGCACTCAAAAGCTATATGCCCTCCTGTGTACCATTGATGACGCACCATAAGGAAAACAGATAGGAGGTGACCAAAGAAGGAACATTTTCCTTAATAAGTTATTGCATTGAAGGTGTTAGAATCTCAACCTTGAATGCTTAACATGCCTATATCTGCCAGCCTATTATAGAGTTGGGGGATTGAACTTCACTAGCATATCAAATTTGGATTGAATTACAAGAAAACTATTCTTTCGATGGGTGTAGACATGCAAAAATCTTAGACCCAATCACTCCTGAGTAGATTGACACAGAAGTTGATGATTCAAACAGAGAGAAAAAAAAAAAAAAAAAAGTATGTAGTTGCTTGGTCAACAATGTTAAACTCGCATCCTCCCTCTAGGCGAAAGTAAACTAACTATCGGGTATGTCTCAAAGGAAAATAGAACTTACATATTTACATGTCCATATCCTGCTTTCTACTGTTTATTATAAAACAAAAATAAACATGTACCAATAAACATGGGGAATAAACAGAGAGAGATTTCAGCACTGGAAAAAGTAAAAAATACCAGAAACAATATGACACGTATACATGCATATGGTGTATGAAAACACTAGCAAAGGAAATTTTAAATGGATAAAATCCAGCTGATAGATTAGCCCCAGTAGATAATTAAACCTTGGATCCATGTATCGGTACATGTGTACATGGATTGATGGGGTTGTGAGTCATATTCAACCTGTCCTGCATGGTTGCCTCTAGGTTCCATCAGTGTTTCAGCCATGACCGAAATCCTTAGATGATAGTCACTGAACCCAGTTGGGAACATCAAGATGTATCATGTGTTCAAATGTGGAGTAAAGTGCTTGAAGTTGGGGTACGTGTACCTTTAATGAACTTTAGAAAGAAACTAGATAATATATAACGCTGGCAGGATCTATAATTTTTTTGATAAATAATTTGTAAGTTCTTCCACTATTAGATTTTACACAAATAAATTAATTTACTATTATGTAGAACCAAACTGTGATGAATAGCATCTATTTTCAGAGACAGAACCAAACTGTGATGAAAACACGTCTAAATTCAGAGACATAAGCATACATATTTCTACGTCGATTTTGAAAAATATCCAACAATAAAAATTACAAATAGAACTTTTACAGACACACATCTAACAGAATTATGGAAGTTGTTTAAGCCACATTACAATAATTCAAAGTTATCAGACCCAACTGGCCCATCAATCAGGTCAGGACGCTGGGCTAAATGGATAATGGAAATGGAATAGCGGTTAGAATGGTTAGGACACCTTATCTTTAGAGATAAAGAAGGGCAATGACTTTGTGTAAATCATCGTATTCCTACTACAAAGATAATGCATAACTATATCTATGATTTTAAAAATTAAGGTATGCAAAAGAAAAGTAAAATTGCTGTACTTTTACAGTAAGAAGAAAAATGTGCTATGTATTCTATCTTTTGTTTTTCTACAAATCATATCGATAACATATTTAATAATTTTTCTTCTACTATTTTTTACTAGTAGGTTATAGACAAATCCAAATATTACTTAAGTTTCATTTATTTTTCCTTTTTTCATGCAGTTTCAGGAGACGGATTGGTAATATATATTCCAGTGTATATCATAATTTCTAATTCCTGATCCTCTCTTTCTAATTTCCTTCCCCCCATGTGTATTATCTGTCATAATCAACTTACAAAGCATATGGCACCCCTCCTCTTCCTCTAATGTAATGTATACAAATATGAATTTATCAAGATCATCAGAATTCTATAAAATCATGTCATGTTTCCATTCAAATTATATTAATGATTTTCTTATTAAATCCAAGGATGTAGATAAACGACAAAACGAAATTATAGTTATTAACAAAGAGTACTCTCTAACAAAAGTTTAAATAATGATATAAAAGATATTATATCAGCCCTTTGAAACATGTAACTGCGTACTTTTGTTTAGATTATCATCATCATCATCATCATTATTATTATTATTCATTTATTTATTTTTTGCCATTTGCAACATACTAGAAGTTTTTAACTGTTTTAGGTCGATTATAGTAGTCATGAATTTATTCCTAGGTGCAAACTGAAAGCACTTTTATTTAATTAAGAAAGTCTTTCAGTTTTCTCTAGCTATAAAAATTGAATACTTACCTATATAAATATGTTAGCAATCAGTTATATCTATTTTAGAGGATATTGCAGACAGCAAACTAGTGCTAGCTTGGTGGAAAGGAACTTTGGTTATTACAAAAATGACCTAGGTTCGAAACACCCTACAAGCATTGTTGGAGTATATTTTATGAGATGCCCAATTTTATCAAACAGTGCCGCCGGTTTTACAGCAACCCTTTCAGTTTCTGGCAGGTTATGACCAATTCGACTGTGAAAAAGCCAACTATAGCTAACCACACAGAATCGCAGGTTTTGTACGTAACCAGCCGGTCATTCCGGTTCTGATAACACTGCAATAATTGTTAAAAACTACATATCATGCACTGGAAGTTAGAGCTGCTAGTTCAGCAGTTCAACCATGATTATAATGAAAACTTAGTGTATGCAGAGATGATTTCTGCAGTAAATCTGACAACATGCATTTATAAACGGTAACCAGCATTTGAAGCTAAAAAATCCAGGTACATAATGTGCACAAAACGAGAACCTACTTTTTTTCTCAAACGGCTTTTTCTCGCAGCTTCACGGTTTTGAGCGAGTCTGCGAAGCGTCTGCAAGAAGACGTCAAGATCATATATCTACATGGAAATAAGGATATAGGTGCACTAGATTTAGTAAGATCTCAAACCTTTTGATCCCTCGACTTATCGCTGCCATCAGAAGCTATCGTACCATGCGAGAGAGCATTCTGAAACTAAACACGAAACTAATGTTAATATTAAAGCAATAATAAATAATACGAGCTTATCATGCTAGAGGAATTGGAGAAATATGCACAACAGAAATGAAAACCTGACCATCTTTATATCAATTCACGATAATAAGTATATAAGTAAGTATAATAAAGAGAGAATTTTTCATAATATATATTGGAAAAGCATTTTGGACATTACCCTCAAATTCTTATCTTCGGTGTCAGCATCAGTCGAAGTATCAGTCCTAGGGCTGACATCTGCCATACTGGACCCTCCACAATAACTTAGATAAATACTTCAAACTAAAACAAGCATATGTCTTCACTCTTCTGTAGGAAGAGGATCAGAAACCAACGTCACTGGATAAAACTCTAATAGGAGGAAATTCTGCAAACAGAAAGAGAATCCCATGACTACATAAGAAACCTTTTTAGTGTTTTCAAAGCAGACAGACATTGATAAATATGATTAAAACAGTGAAGCACAATTCCAGCAATTATGCTGAGTTTAAGCAATTATTTTAGTGGTAAATTGTCTTGGTGGTGCATTTTATGGTTCAAGAAGCACAGTGATGCCGATTGCAATGAACAAACAATAAACAAGAAAGAGAAGGAAATAGGAAAAGATATGAGGGAAAGATTGAAAGTTTATTTAATATTCAAGTGTGTCTTCTTACAATCAGAGAACCTTAATTTATAGGTTTCAAATAGCAATGAAAGGCAAATTACGATAAAAAGGAAAATCTAATATTTCCTTTTAAAAGGAGACAGATTCACTATCCTACCAAAAACAATAAAATGTAATAATGAAGATTTGATCTTTAATTGATTTGATTCCGTTTACGCTAGAATATACTTTCCAATTTGCATCATTCCTCCTAGGATGAAAAGAACTCGACTCTGACGAGGTATAATCCAAGTAGGCGTGCAAAAGCGTAGCTTCCAGTCGACAGAACTCATCTCATCAATCTAAGTAGCATCACTAGGTGGACAACCTTTCCAACGCACAAGAAACCTACGAAAATCACCATCCTGTGAAGTAACAAACTGATGATCAAGTACCTCATCAATGATATCCGGCAGAGACAATGTGGTAACAGAAGCTCGAGGAGGCGGTCGATAAGACTGTCATGTAGAAATATTAGACGACAATACTGGAGGCTCGAAAGTGCCTCGATAAGGATATAAATCTGCTATTTAAAAAATAAGACTAATATTTAAGCGCATTGGCAACTCAAAGACATAAGCATTAGTTCCAAGCCGTTTAATAATGGGGAATGGACCTAGTGATCTAACATAAAGTTTCTTGGCAGCATGTTTAGGGAATTATTCAGGTGCAAGTCGTATCATGACATAATCGCTCACATTAAATTCTTTATGCTTATGGTGGGAATCGGCTAAGAGTTTATGATGATCATTGCTTGAAGAAATTTTACGTTTAATCTCACCATGCAAGTTACGAACATAATTAGCAAAAGCTTGAGCGGAGGCAGTAAGACGAAAATTGGTGGTTAAAGGAAGTAAATCAAGCGGCCGACGTGGAGAAAAACCCTAGACAACCTCGAAGGGGCTATGACCGGTAGGCCTATTAACAGAATTATTATAAGCAAACTCAGCAGTGGACAACACTAAAACCTAATTCCCCGATTTATCCCCAACTAAACAACTAAGTAGATTACCTAGAGTACGGTTCACAACTTCCATTTGACCATCGGCTTGGGGATGAAATGTAAAAGAGAACTTAAGCGCTATTCCAAACAGTCTCCATATTGTCTTCCAAAAGTAACTAACAAACTTAACGTCACGATCAAATACGATAGTAACCGGAAGCCCATGGAGACGAACAACTTAGCGATATGGGACGCATCAAAAGACTTGGAATGTGGAATGAAGCGTGCCATCTTAGAAAATCTATTGACCACAACAACAATGGAGTCATAACCTCTAGCTGTTTTAGATAACTCGAGAACAAAGTCCATACTAAGGTCACCCAAGGAGTATGAGGAACAGGAAGAGGAGTATACATCTCAGTATTTTGACGTTGTGCCTTACCCAATTGACACGTACAACATTAAGAGACAATGTAAGCAACGTCTTTCTTAAGGGATAGCCAATAAAATCAATCCTCAGCTAAGATGATTGTTTTATCTCGACCAAAATGACCAGCTAGACCCCCTGCATGTAGTTCCCAGACTAGGAAGTCACGAAGTGAAGTACAAGGATGCATAACTTGGTACCCTTGAAAAGATAACCATCTTTAAACAAGAAAGAAACATGGTCGCAAAAAGGATTCTCTAAGAGGTCCAGAAAGACGATGCCAAAATAAGAACAATTAGGATAATCGTCCTTCAAGCACTCAAATCCTACCACATTTGTGCTCAGAGAATGAAGTACCGTAGTGATATAACTAAGAGTGTCATCTGCTTTATTTTCGACACTAGCCAGATGATGGAGAACAAACGTGTACTCCAGAAGAAATTCAACCCACTTAACATGTAGCTCATTTAAATGACGCTGGGAGAAAAGGTAGCGAAGAGCCTGATGGTCAAAATACGAAACAAACTCCTGAGGCAATAAGGAAAACGTCTTGACTCTAATACCAAACTAATGCCGATTGCGATAACCAAACAATAAAGAAAAAAAGAAGGAAATAGGAACAGATATGAGGCAAGATTGTAGGTTTATTCAATATTTAATGTCTTCTTGCAATCAAAGAACCTCAATTTATAGGTTCCAAATAGCAATGAAAGGAAAATTATGATAAAAGGGAAAACTAGAATTTACTTTTAAAATGAGACAAATTCACTATCCTACCAAAAGTAATAAAATGTAATAGTGAAGATTTGATTCCATTTACGCCTAGAATATACTTTCCAATTTGCATCACGTAGATTGTAGTAAATTTTTAATATAAGAAAACCTCATAATTCGTGGTATTCCTACGTAGAAAGAACCATGGAATAAATACTGCTTGAAATAATTAAATTATCCTAAGTGACACAATCATTATATTTGTCTTTAGCTAATGTTGAGAAATGGAAACTATTGACAAATCCTTTCCTCTCTGTACCATTCCTTGATTCCACCTGAAACTATATTCACGTATTTGATAGTGTTTTATTCCCTTGCTTTCCTATGATTTATAGGAGCAGATTTCTATTTTAGTTACCCTTTTTTCGTGTAGAGTTTTATATAAACTATTCAATCAATACACAGCCTGCACAAGATGTATCAGAGATCTAGGCTTTTCCTTACGATTTCAACCAGTATTTCCTTGACCTTATGGCCTGAATTTCCAACAAAGTAACCAACCCTATCCCAGAATTATCATCCTCTTGAATAAAAATTTCAGAACTCTCTGAAACCAACCCCGGCAATGCTGATTCCATCATCATTGACTCCCAACATTCGCCAGGTGAATACAAGAATATGCAAGCCTCATTTTGACTCAAAACATCACTATTATTGATTTGGTTGATAAGTATAATTCTAACACATATCTTGGCTTCTAAGTAGGATCTTTTATTAATAATTTGAGTTTTTTAGATTCGATTGTTGTTGGTTTTTGTTCATTTCTATGATTGTAGGACGAAATCCATGAACTAAAGTTATATTGGTGAAATCAGCAAGACAATGTGAATAAATCAAGGTATTGAAGTGAAGATCAAGAACCGACCATTGGAAAGTGAGAATGGAGAGAAATTGAAGAAGAAGCAAGTTGACGTGAATGGTCGTCGTGAACATTGACATCATGCCAAGTTGCTGCCATTACAACCAACAATAAACTCATGTAAAGCCAAGCTCTCCACTCATCCCCAATGGTCGTCATGGACATTGACGTTATGCTAAGTTGCAGCCCGTCACGCTAAGACTTTCTGCATCACTTTAGATAATTTTATAGGAACTACATAATCTTTGTTGAGGGGCTTTATGGTTGACCAATTGAGGGTATTTCATTTGCTTTTTGCAGACGACACATTGATCTTCTGTGACGCAGATACTAAGAAATTTAGGAATTTGCGTCGTTTGCTCTTATGCTTTGAAGCTGTATCTGGTTTGAAGATAAATTTGGGGAAATCTAAGGCTATCACAGTGGGAGATGTCAACAACGTGGAGGAGTTGGTGGCCATATTGGGTTGTAGAGTTGCGCAGCTGTCTATGTCATACCTTGGGCTCCCTTTAGGAGCACGTTTTAAAAGTATATACATTTGGAACAGTATTACAGAAAGAGTGGAGAGGAGGTTAGCAGGTTGGAAACGTATGTAATTCTCAAAGGGAGGACGTCTTACCCTTATTAAGTCCACCCTATCAAATCTCCCTACTTACTTCTTGTCACTCTTTCCCATTCCCGTCTTAGTGGGAAAAAATTAAAGAGGATTCAACGGGAGTTTCTATGGAGAGGGTTAGGGAAGGAGAGGAAACTTCATTTGGTTAATTGGAGTGCAGTTTGTTCTCTCCTAAGGACAGGGGTCCTCGGACTGAGGAGTCTTGTACTGTTTAATAAGGCTTTGCTGGGTAAGTGGCTATAGCGATTCGGCGTGAAGAGGAAGAGCTTTTGGAAAGGAATTATAGAAGCAAAATATGGTGTTATGTAGGGAGGATGGTGCTCAGCCATTGATCATGGTCCTTATGGTGTGAGCTTATGGAGGTATATTTGACGAGGGTGGTGAGACTTTCAGAATAGATTGACGTATATCGTGGCAAATAGCAATACTATTAGATTTTGGGAAGATTATTGGTGTGGAAATTGACCATTAAGAGTGGAGTTTCCTTCTCTATACCGTGCTGCTTTGAGGCTATATGCTATGGTGAATGAAGTCCTACATATACATAATGAGAGTCTCAGTTGGAACATTGTTTTTGGAAGGGGTTTGCAGGATTGGGAGTTGAATCATTATGTGCTGCTTTTGACCTCGTTGTGTGAGGTGCACATCAAGGTCGAAGAGAGTGATTGTAGCAGGTGGAGGTTGGCACGAGATGGTATCTTCTCAGTTGACACTTATTTTACATCCTTATTGGGACCTATGAAGAGCTCATTTCCTTGGAAGATGGTATGAAAATGTAAACTACCCCCTCGGGTGGCATTTTTACTATGGACAGTTGTGAGAAGATAGATGTTAATAGTGGATAACCTCTGAATAAGGGGTTTTTATGTTACAGAATGATGCTATATGTGCAGGAAGAATGGGGAGACGATTGATCACTTGTTTCTTCATTGTGAAGGTGCTCGCTCCCTGTGGAACGATATTCTAGCTTCTCAACACATGGATTGGGTGTTTCCGCGGCATATGGAGGATGTACTGAAAGCATGGAGGAGAAAATTTCGTAATAAGGATAGCACGATTGTCTGGGATCTTATTCCAGGATGCTTCGTCTAGTGTGTGTGGAGGAAGAGAAATAGCCGATGTTTTGATGATCATACAAAGACAACTGAGCAAATTAAAGAATCGGTTTATATGACATTGCATATTTGATTTAATGCTACGGGTTTCACTCGTATAGACAAGTTGCCTAATTTTAAGTTGTTTCTTTCTTGTATTAATTGATAATTCACTTTTGTATTATCAGTGATTAATAAAATATTTGATTACCTATAAAAAAAAATTAAAAAATTATTTCAGCAAAGCAAAACCAGAACTTTTAGAAACATTCAGATCAGAAAATACAAGACCCAAGTCAAACCACTCCATGTATATCAAACCAACCGACTAAAGAACAACTAAAACAATCCTAATAATGACATGAAGAGATGAACCTCAAGAAAATGAGGATAAAAAAATAAAAACAACTTTTGAGATATAGAAGAATCGAATTTTCTGTGTGGACTTATTGTGAAAGAACACAGGGTTGATCAAAAGCCCACGTGAAATTTGGCAGTTCACAATATTCCCCTGCAAATGATAGCAACCCAACAAACAAGACTCAATAAAAGAAACCTCTAGGCTGTCGCTGGTGCTGATATTTATTTCTTGATTTCTTTATGCTGCTATCAGCCAATTTTGACTTATGGGTCCTTTCCCAGTTAATTTCCTCTAGGTGGAAGCTTCGATGTGAAATCCCTTTCATTTGTATAAATAAAAATATAAAAGAAGAGAGAAAGGAGGGGTGCATTAGAGAGCAAGTGCCAAAGTACCTGGAGTGGAGAGGGAGTAGATAAAACTACCGGTCTGCGAAACAAGAATTGGGGAAATTGCTCGATCAATTTCGGATTAAAAACTCTCTCCCACAATTTTACAAGTCGTTGACTAATTTTTTTACTTGCAACTCTAGCCTTCACTCAATGAACACCTGGGAGGTTTTTTTTTTTTTTTTTTTT